CCCCCCCCCCCAGCATCCCAGGATGCTTTACAGCCATTTGCTCCAGTGCTGCCCTGCTTCTCTGCTCCCTGGCTTGCTTCCTACGTGTATCCATCAGCTGGGGGGAGCAGAGGAACAGACCTGGGCTAGGGGGATCTGGGGATCTATACAGAGTATGGGGGAAGGGAAGGCCCCTGTGGTGGGGGCTTCTGGATTCTTCCCCTGTGCCAGGGGTAGCCTGGGGAGCCAATTCCCCATGTCCCCTATACAGCTGCTTGCTGCCACAAGAGGGAGGGGGAAGGAGTTCCCAAGGCCCAGCAGTGTGGGCACCAGGGAGCCACTGCCTTGAGGACCTTCCTCCGGCTTGGCTGTGGGTCCCCTAGCCAGGTGGACGTATCCCTGGGGAGCTGAGGGGATTTCTCCTCTTCCCCCCACCCTCCCCCCCCCCAGCTGCTGGCTGCTTCAGAAGCTGCCACAGGATGGAGGAGTCCTCCAGGCTGGGTACCTGCCCATGAAGTCCAGCATGGGGGCACGAGGGAGCCCGTGCCTTGGGGTGGCTTCTTCTCACCCCAGCATGGGGCAACCCCAAGGAGCTGAGGGGAATTTTCCCTCTCCTGAACCCCAAAGCTGCATGCCCTGGAGATTATATATTATACACTATATATTTCAGATATTGTTTCTTGTAGCTCTTGGTTGGGGTTTGAAGCAGCAATTTAAGGGATTCATTCAGTTAATTTACCTGAGAACATGGGGGACTGGACTTTGTGATACAGGAGGTCCCGTCTAGTATATGATCTGAAGCACTGTATAAAGGTTAATTCATGCCAACAACACCCTTGAGGTGCACTCACCAAATCTGTATTTGTATGAGAGAGATGAAAGAAAAAAATAATTAAGCTTCGGTGGTTTAGGCTATGCAGCCTAATAAGTAGCCTGCTTTCCTGAAGTACTGAGTATCTGTAAATGGCCTGTCAGCTTAACTGGGGACAGTGAGTGCTTATCACCTTGGCAAATCAGGCCTTTTTATTTTGGTATTTAAATATGTAATTAAATAGATAATCTTAGCCATCCTTATAGGAAACCGCTAGTTTGAGAAACATGCTCAAAGAGCAGTGTCCAGGAGATGATTAGAGTTCAGCCATGCTTTTTGCCCTGTGTTCAGTTATCTTACAGTCACGTCTGAGGCTGACTTGCAGGCTGTAGTACAACAGTGTGAAAATAATTATGGTAACTTCAAAAATAACATAGACTTATTTTTTTTCGTCTGATGAATTCCAAGTACTTTACAAATATGAATTTTATTCTCACCGTTCTTGTATGCCATAGGTATGTTTTACTATCCCCACTTCATAGTTAGAAAAGCTGGAGCACAGAACACTGGCTTCAGGTTACCTACTGGGTCAAAAGCAGAGGTGGGAATAGACTTTGTAGTTCTGACTACTACTCCTTGCTTTTACTACTGGAACATGCTCAAATACTGCACCTCATTCAAAATGATGGAGAAACTGTACCTGAGCCTACGGGAGGTGACCACCAGGCCTAAGTGAAGGAATTCCTGTACCATGAAAATCCTTAATCAGATGCTTCCATAAATATCTTTTCATTGTACCCTGTAAGCAACATGTTCAGAAGCAGCTCTGGACTCCTCAACCCCTGACAATCAGTTTAAAGAAATGCTGCCTTAGGTCTATTTACAGACCTCCTTCCTGTACTACAGGCAGTCCTGGACTTATGACAAACATCACTTATGACCTCTGTAAACTATGACAGTGTTTCAAGGTTCCAACAGGGTTTCAACTTTACAACACTGGACACAACAGCCTCTACCTGGTAAGTTTTGTTGTGGAGTGTAGGGAGGGGCAGATCAGTGCCCCCACAGCAAGGGAGGCATTGGAGCTGGGACAGGGATGCCCAGCAGGCAGCAGGGGCACAGGGAGGGACGGGGTGGCTTCTGCTGATACACACCACTGGCCTGGGAGGGCATGGGAGGGTATGTGCGCTTGGATTTATGTAGGCCAGGGCTGTGCAAGGCTGTGCTCTGGGTAGGTGGTGGAAGGTGCTGGGAGCAGGGGCTATGTCCTCCCACTACTCACCTAGCTGGGATGGGGTGGAGCCACTGCACTGCCTCCAGAGAAGCAGTGCACAGTGGTCAGAGCCACCTTGGCCGCCCAATGCCTCCCAGCCCTGTACTACCCCAGCTGGGTGAGTGGCCCTGCCACTATTCACCCAGCCGGGGTGGGACAGGATGAAGCTGTAGCTCACTGGGGAGGCTGGGATGGCTCTGGTTGCTGCACACCACTTGTCCATAGGCAATGCAGTGGCTCCACCCTGCCCCACCCAGCCCCGGCTGGGCGAGCAGCAGGAGGGCATAGCCCCCACTCACAGTGCCTTGTGCTGCCTGCCCAGAGTGCAGCCTGGTACAGATCTGCCCCCTTCCACTTCCCCCATGCCCTCCTGGACTGGTGGCGGAAGCAGCAGTGAGAGCTGGTGAACAAGCTGCCCACCCCCACTCTGGCTGGGCAGCCCTTGCCCCAGTCCCATTCCCTCCCTTACTGCAGGGCTGTTGATCTGCCCATCCACCACAACAGACTTACCAGCTAGAGGTTGCTGTGTCAAGCATGGTAAAGGAACCAATCCCGCATTTATAACATTGTTCCTATGGGGAACTCGGTTCAGAGTTGCGATGTTCCAACTTAAGATGCAATTTTCAGGAACCAGTTGCATCATAAGTCTGAGGACTGTCTCTATTTTGAGATATAAGTTCAACTGAACTGCTTTATTAAAATAAACTAGTTCAGGGGTCAGGAACCTATGGCCTGCAGACCAGATATAGCCTGTGGTGCCATTGGAACTGGTCCACAAGTGTGGAACTCTAATGGCAGTAAGCAATGAAGGGTTTCAGCTGCAGGTACTCCCTCTGGCTGGTGGAGAGAAGTACTGGCTGCTGATGGGTCCTAGTGCCTGCCTACCTACCTGCTTTTAACTGCAGATAGGTCATTCCAGCCTCTTTCTACAGCCAGGAAAGGTTGTTGGCCACTTTATTCATGGGATATGTAATGAGAGAGAAAAGAGGTGGTAGAAGAAGGTTAACCAGGGAAAAAGAGATGAAAGAAAATGTAACATTGAGGATGAGGGGATAGATGCAAAGTACACCTTCCGCGATACTCCACATCTAACTCTCCAACACATGAACAACCACACTGTCCCTTGGAAATGAGCTGTGTCCTTTTATGCATGTAAAGGGTTGTACAGATCAATGGCTCTATAAGTAATTAAGCAATAGTGAAATATTTTAAAAATCCATCCAGCTTCCTTTTAAACAATGCAAGTATATAATCATTTGGTTTACATGAATCCAAAGCATTTGTGCTTAATCTTAGGCACGTAACATGTTTTAGCTTTACTGATAACAGGGCATGCACTTTAAGCATTTTCTTCAATGCTTCAATTTCCTTTGTGCCAGGACTGGGCATTCAAGCTAAGTACAGACAGTCAAAAAGCCAGAGCCTGAATTGATTCAGTCTTTGCAGGTTAGTCTAGGCTGTACAGATTAAACCAAAAAGTAAATGAACAGACACTCGGTTTTGATTTGAGAAATGCAGCCATATGTCTACAGTGGCTCAAGCAGAAGCCAGGGGGCATTAAAACATGGCTCTCTGGCAGGTAGCCAGCATGCGCTGTATGTTCACTTCGTCTTCTAGTGGCCCTTGAGGTCTCTGGGGTTTGCAGTCCACAACAGCAGCAGGACTCTGCAGGGTTGCTTATGACTTCCTCTTCCTGCTTCCAGGTGCCTCTGGGATTTGTAGTCCACAGTCACAGCAGACAGCCCAGCCCAGGGCTGTGAACCATGTTGGGGAACTGTGATTTAACTTGAACCAGGAAGCAGTCTGGGACAGAAGTTTCATAAACTGGTTTTGACCTAAATCAGGTCTGCTACTACATTCAGCCAGTTTTATCTTAAACCAGCTTCAGCCATTTTCAAACTGGTTTATGTGCACTGAGCTTCTGTTCTGTTACACATTTAAACCAGTTTCTGATCACTTAAACTGGTTTGTGTATCCTGTGTCCCTAATCTCAGACTATTGAAGCCTGACTACAAGAAATGTGCTTTGGTTTGCTTTGATGGATGGTCAATGTCAATACAAACATACTGCAGGTAACTGAGTTCCTGTACATGATCAGTGGTGAAAAGTGCCATATTTCCTAAATGACACTTTTGTGACAGAGTAGAACATTTTTTAATATCATACTTGGTGAATTTAATTAAAGCTTTAGAATTAAGTGCCAGTGTGATTGTAGGAATACAGAAACATTCAATATTGATTCTATTTATATAACAAGAAGTGAAAATTAAACAAATCTTCAGGATAAACAGAAAGCAATGAGAATTTATACGTATCTTGTCGAATTGGGACTATCCTCCTCCTAAGTACGCAACAGCTGGCATATAGAGATGAAAACAAGTCTGATGACAGGAAAACAGGAACAGACCAGTCTATAATAAAGCTATTGTATAACAACAAATATATAACGGTGAACTTCTATGCTACCTTTTTCTTCAGTCTGAAGAACATCATAATTCACCCCCAAACTCTAGAGAAACCAAAAGCATACAACAGTATGTATTAAAAGCAACCAAGCTAGTGGTGCCTCTTGCACGTATTTAATACTTTAACACCTGAGCCCTAATGGAAAAACATCGCAAAATATCCTAAAAATATATGTAGCCAGGGCATACACAGGGTATGTACCCCCTTTCTCTAAATTGAAGGGGGTTGTTGGTTGTCAGCAGGCAAAGGTGCTATGGGAGGGAACTGTCTACCACATAGTTTCCCCTCAGTTCCCTATAGAGTCAGGCCAGGACCCAACTGCTTAACTATACATAGGTTTATTAATTAATAAAATTAAGTCTCACACAGGCACATGTATATAACTTTATTTTATTAATTAATAAGCTTGTGTATAGTTAAGCAGTTGGGTGTATACATATCTACAAAGAAGTAATCACTTATTCAATGATACAGGACTATATTATATACATGACTTATACCTCCTATAGAGCTTCAACCCACACACATAAGTAATGGAGCTGGAACCACTAAGTATAAGCAAATGCAGGTAAATACAGCATGTCAACAGGGATAAACAATTAACTATTTGCAGTCCATGAAAGAACAGTGTCATGTATGCAGTAGAAATCAAAGATAAAATACACTTGTGCTCCTATAACAGTGAAATCTCAACTGACAAAATATACGGTGCAAATGACAAAATATGAGGCACTCGCTCACCCTTCAGGGTGTCTTGAAGGTGCTGCTATGCTAGGGTGTCCCCATTCAGTGATGGGAAGCCTGACCGCAGCTCTGCCAGAGGAAAATGGGATGACGTTCCAGGCTGCTCCAACCCCTCGTGGGCTGGGACGGGACACCCTACTTCACAGGAGCTGCTGCTGGCTCCCTCCCCTATGGGACACCCTTGTTCCCAATACTCATCACCCCCTAGTGATGCAGGGCTCTCTGGCTCTGTGGGGTGGGTGCCTTTCCTGGCATGGTGGCTGGCCGCTGCCCAGGTGTCTCTCCCTTCCTGAAGCCTACTTGCAGCCCTGTGCACCGACTCATGCACTGTTTGGCTTGCTCCTTATGGCAGGTTTTGGAGGCCTGGGCCACCTCGTGTGACACTGGGCAGCTCCTGGACCTGCTTGGGGGTCATATCGTGTTGGTAGCCTGGCCGCATGCTAGGGTTTGGGGACCTGAGCTGCCTTGAAACAGCTCCCAGAGTCCTGGTCAGCTCTTTGATCCACTGTGCAGCGATCTGTGCACCGCTCCCCAGCTGCCTGCCGGGGTTCCAGACCTGAGCTACCTTGAGTGGCTCCCAGGGTCTCGGCTCTTTGCACCGATGGGTCTGAGGCATTGGCCCCAATGAGGAGGGCTCTTCTGGGTGCTGCTTTGCCCACTGGGCAACTCTTCCCCAGCAATTCTTAGCCCCTTCTTCCTTCATCGTGCCCCCGATGCGTCTCTCGTATGCTGTGTACACAGCTCCTTTTATTCGCTTTGGAGGCTACAGCCCCAAAGTTTTGCCAGACCTGCAAAACAGGCTTCACTCAGGTCTGGGAGGCTCCTTGCTTAGATCCCTTCCAGGCAGGGTGGGGTTGACTCCACCCAGCCCTTATCTTATTGGTGGAGCCTGTCCACCAAGCAAAACAAAGATTTTCCAAGCCCAGGACGTGCCGGGTGGGATCGTTAAGTCCACCACATATACTTTTTTCAGAATATCCTCAGGATTATAATTGTGCCTTCATCACTGGCTTCATGGATGGTTCTCCTCTAAAACCCAACACACAGCTTAGAGTAATGATCCTTAATTATTTAAGATTCAGTATAGCTGAAGCACTAGGAAAAGGAACACTTGCTAGGGTGAGAGACAGCACTTGCTAACTAAATGAGTTCCTGTATTATTGGTCTGATAATCAAATGAGACTGTGTAATGATCTCAGAGTTGCTAGGATATGGTATGCTGTTACCCCAAGTATTTCCTATTGCAAGCAGATTAGCTGGCTGGATGAATTGGTAAGGCGGATACAAAACAGGTGTATTTTTGAAAAGTACTGATTTTATCCTAATAACCTCAGAAGCTGGGGGGGGCGGATACTAAAGATTTTTTTTTTTTTAATCACTGTATGGGTGTCAGGGGGGAGTTAAAGGGAGAAAGATCTAAGCAATAGCAGCATTCAGAGAAGTTTGACAGCATTGGTAGAAGTCCATAGGGTATAAATAAACAGATGCTCCTAACACAAGCCCCCATGTTGCCCAAGACAAATCCATATTACTTTTATAAAAGGTGTCCAGGAATAAATGGGTCACAGACAGCAGTGTGGTAAGCAACCACTAATTCCAAGAATCTAAAATCTGGTCTTTGGTTAGAATCTGAGTCTCAGGATTCACTGCTATGATGTTAAGTCATCTGGAGCAGTACTCTCAAAAGGCAGTTGAGCAGCATTTCTCCCTTACCAGACTTGCCTGAAACTGAGGAAGGACACCAGAGCCTCTGTACCCAACTCATCTAGGTGCACAGATTCGCAGTGTAAGGTGACCTTATAAAAATAAGACAAGCCATTAGAGAAGGAAACGGGGTAGATGCTGCCTAATTATTGTTAGAAGGCAGAGATGTGTAACGTAAACTTTGAGGGCCTCTTGCACTTTCCTAGTGGAGAACTGCTACTTGTGGGATCTCATTAGGATCACATGTGAGCCTTCACACATTTTCAAGTGAGACACTAGACCACTGTCAGAGGCGTGTGTCCATATTAAGAAGTCACTGCTTAGGACCCAAGTCTCACTGTGTTTGTGCTGTCAGATCCACTTTTGTTTAATCAAGTGATTCAATACAGAATTATGATGAGCCAATTTCACTGTCCAGACAACCTACAGGAAGCCAACAAGCCACTTGCTGTGCATCAATGTCTTAAACTGTGTTTTGGAAAATGGCAGCCTGGGATTTGAAACCATGCCATCAATACCATTTTCCTTAGAATCACTAAATGAATAAAATACAGCTCCTCAGAAGGGGGGGTTTAATTTCTTTGGTGTGTTGTCCACTGCTGTTGATCCCAAGCTTCCCACAGGTTGGCAAATTACTATCTGCCCCCTTGGCCTTCTCGGGTGGTACATAGATACAGGAGTTTACATATAGTATTTCTATATTATGTGGCTTATAGTATAAACAATACAAATATTTCTGATTAGTGTAAATGTCAAACAATCATCACCTCTGGCTGGTATTTAAACCAATATATGGGCGTTGCTCAGTGGCAGATTGGGGGGGGTGTGGAATAAAAATCTCCCCAGTATTGTTGAGAATTTCAGACACTCCTAATTACTCGCCCCCTTCTTCCCCCCTCCTTTCAGGCTTTGCTCTCTACTCTAGGTTGTTTTTAAAGAAGAACATAATTATGACATGTCCTAAATCATTACTGAAAGATTTTTCTTCTTAAATTCTGAATTAGACTCCCATAATAATCAAATACAACAAAACAAAAAAAACCCCAAGTGTTTGCTTTTTTTGTTTGTTTGTCTTTCAAACCTGTCAACATTCATTTACAGAAATGTTTACTCCACATGATCTGCTGTCCTCATTTTGGAGCAGTGGTAATCAAACTGTCAAGGCTGGCTGGTACATAGATCACAAACACAAAACTGGGCTCTCCCAAATGAAGCCACAGTCCCCTTTTTTCCTGAATGGGCAGGAAGCTGTCCCTAGGGGCATTCCCTGATAACGCGCAGTGTTCTTGGGTCACTTCCCTGGATGAGTACTAGCAGGCTAGCAAACAAATCAGTATTCCATAAGATATCAAACATGACAACTGAGTGTTTTTTACCTTTTTAGCCTAGGAAGAGAAGATGCCTGATCAGTAGCATCTTCTGCAAAGATTGGGCTTGTGAAGCAGCTAAAGAAAAGAGCTGTCAGCACCTCAGGCACTGTGTGATGGCTCAATTAACAGAGGACTACTCTTGTGACATGCTGCCATCATCTGCTGCAGGAAAAACAAAGGTTTTGTCCCAGAATGTCTCTCTACTGCTCCGTGTCTGCCCCAGGAAGGAGGATGCACTTGGTGTTGTCTCTGAAGTAAGGCCTTGCTACAGCTGTCAGTGTGAAGTGATTATTTTGTGATTGTTCTAGAAATGCACACAACAAGCACAAGATTCTTCAAAGTTTTCTCTTGCAAGAATAAGGAAAACTATAAAAGCAAGCTGATCAGAAAACCAGTTAGAGGAGATTTTCATCAGATGACTTTATCATACATAATGATGATTTTAATAAATTCTAACTAGCAGAAATGGGAATTATTTTGCCAGTTTGATGTTGGCAATTGTGGTCATTTCCACATTGGTTTTTTGTTTAAGTATCAGTATGCTCCACATCCAGAACTAAAAAGTAGGGTTCAAAGATTTTCACGTTTTCTTTATGGCATGCAACACTCTAAACTGTGGCCATTTTAGATTACGGCAATTTATACATAGTCTTTTGCGAGGCAACGTGCTGGAGATTTGGTATGTCAGAGCAGACTTGATCAATCGAGTCCGCTCTGTGTGTGAGCTGATGCACACTGCGCTGCATTGCTTGCAGTTGTATAAGCAGTGAAATCCACATCCACCTGGAGAAGATGGTGGCAGTACACTTGTGAACTAAAACACCTTTGTGTGTTAGTTCAAAAGTGGAGCACCGCCATTTTCTGTATGCTGATGGACATTTTGCTGCTTAGACAACTGTACGTGTTGCAGCATCAGGTGCTTTTCAAAGTTTTTTGGTTTTGGATTTTACACCTTTTACTTTGTAACCTGCATGCTAGCCATTATTCTATGCCAGGACTACCAGATATTCTATATCCAGGTAAATTTTGTCAAAAAAAGTAAGAGATCAGAAGCTACAAAGAACAAGTGAAACATGTTGATAGTTGCTGTTCTTAACAGGTTTTGACTGGTTGGGCATTGAGAATTTACCAAAAAGAACATTTTATTAGTGTTAATAGCAGCATCTATAAAGTATTGATTTGTAGTGCAGTCACCATGGTAAACAAAACATTTTTCCTTTGTTTGTGAATATTAGAGAAGAGATGCAGAAACTTTATTCTAGGGATTCATGAAGAAATTCATATTTCATAGCAGAAGCCTACACTTATCTCTCCATTTTCTGTCTTGGGTTTTGTCACATAAGCAACAAATCAACTGGAATAATTTGTCCCATCAAAAGGACATCAAAACTAGGCTCAGTAAATGAGTAGAAATAAAGAGTTTTCAGCTGCATGCAGTTCTTGGAGAGCATCAAAATCTTTTAGAGAAGAGTGATTGATGACATCTATTAATGATTCTCATGACTGATTTGCTAGATGCCATACAAATATAGCAAGGAAGTCTCTGCCTCAAAGCTTAGAATCAAAATAAATAAGATTGAAAGAAGAATTAGTTGAAATGAAACCCACAAGTTCACAAAGGAAGTCTGTTTTAGAGCCAGGAGTTATCCTTAGATCTCTTGAGATCTTGTGTATGGCCTGAAGCATAAGACTAGCCATCCTTCATAGCATCACTAAAACAAGGTGATGAAGATTCTTGCTAGCTGTATGCAAAAAGATAAATAAATAAATGATTGTGTTTCCATTTATTTTCTATATTGTTCCCCTCCTTCTTTGAAGCCATAGTATTTTTATTTTGGGGGTTCCTATGTAGTTGTAAGTAAACAAGGACGATATATTTTGTTAGTATTTGCTTGTAGTGCAATTTTGCATTTTATTGATGTAACATACAATCAGATGTATATGAAATCTCATTTAGTTGGCACTTAAAACACTAACTCAGATGCTTGGATACCATCAAAATGAATTGTGAGGTGTTTTTGTTTTGTACCAGCAGAAACTGAGACCCAGGAATCCTAGTTCAGCAGAAATGTTACCTACTAAACATAAAATTTGGGGTGCAAAAAACATTCCTATTGCTATTTTTGTTGTTGTTGTTCATACCATGTAAGCCAGAAGTGGGCAATTATTTCAGGCGGTGGGCCACTTGCCGCATTTTGACAAGCCATCGAGGGCTGCATGGTTAGTCCCTGCCATTCCCCCCCCCCTTCTAACCCTGCAAACAGATCTCCTCCTATCTGCTGCCCACAACATTCCATCACAGCAGTAGCATGGATCAATAGGAGAATTATTAATCACAGCAGAGGAAAGCATGTTGTTAGTCACAGAGCAGGCCCCTTCCCCAGGAGGCCTCCCCTTTCCCCAGCTACAAAATTGAAACTCAGAGCAGTTAAGAACTTTAAATACAGATGC